TGGGAGGGGAAGTCCCAGCTCCTCGGATCAATATAGTTATTATATTCACGGAGAGCAACACTAAACTCATAGGAGTCACACAGCTTGGGGATAATAGAAGGCATTCAGATCTGATTCAAGGAATTTTTGCATTGGTCCAATTTCTTAGATGAAGAGCCCCTCACCAGCATCAAGGAACCTCTCCTGTGAGGCCACAGATGAAGAGCCTCTCACCAGCATCAAGGAACCTCTCCTGTGAGGCCACAGATGAAGAGTCCCTCACCAGCATCAAGGAACCTCTCCTGTGAGGCCACAGATGAAGTCCCTCACCAGCATCAAGGAACCTCTCCTGAGAGGCCACAGATGAAGTCCCTCACCAGCATCAAGGAACCTCTCCTGTGAGGCCACAGATGAAGTCCCTCACCAGCATCAAGGAACCTCTCCTGAGAGGCCACAGATGAAGAGCCCCTCACCAGCATCAAGGAACCTCCTGTGAGGCTACAGATGAAGAGCCTCTCACCAGCATCAAGGAACCTCTCCTGTGAGGCCACAGATGAAGAGCCTCTCACCAGCATCAAGGAACCTGTGAGGCCACAGATGAAGAGCCCCTCACCAGCATCAAGGAACCTATTCTGTGAGGCCTCAGATGAAGAGCCCCTCACCAGCATCAAGGAACCTCCCATGAGGCCACAGATGAAGAGTCCCTCACCAGCATCAAGGAACCTCTCCTGTGAGGCCACAGATGAAGTCCCTCACCAGCATCAAGGAACCTCTCCTGTGAGGCCACAGATGAAGAGCCCCTCACCAGCATCAAGGAACCTCCTGTGAGGCTACAGATGAAGAGCCTCTCACCAGCATCAAGGAACCTCTCCTGTGAGGCCACAGATGAAGAGCCTCTCACCAGCATCAAGGAACCTGTGAGGCCACAGATGAAGAGCCCCTCACCAGCATCAAGGAACCTCCCATGAGGGCACAGATGAAGAGCCTCTCACCAGCATCAAGGAACCTCTCCTGAGGCCACAGATGAAGTCCCTCACCAGCATCAAGGAACCTCTCCTGTGAGGCCACAGATGAAGAGCCCCTCACCAGCATCAAGGAACCTCCTGTGAGGCTACAGATGAAGAGCCTCTCACCAGCATCAAGGAACCTCTTCTGCGAGGCCTCAGATGAAGAGCCCCTCACCAGCATCAAGGAACCTCCCATGAGGCCACAGATGAAGAGCCTCTCACCAGCATCAAGGAACCTCTCCTGTGAGGCCACAGATGAAGAGCCCCTCACCAGCATCAAGGAACCTCTCCTGTGAGGCCACAGATGAAGAGCCCCTCAATGGGGTCAGCACAGTAACTCAATTAGAATTTGCTGTTGTTTGCCTCTTGATATTTTTGTACATTCTCTAAGGTGAGAGAAGACATGGCAAATTTTTTATCTGCCCACCGTCTACTGAGGGTCAATATTTCATAACTTGCTCCAGAGGGTTAATAATGCAAAAGTATTATACAGTATCTTTCATTACTTACAGTTTTCTTTAACACATTCTAGCACTGACATATTTTTTTTCCCTTTTACTTACCATTATTTACATAGGTGTATTTACCTGCCCACTTGTAATACCAGTAAGATTCTGCCGTCTCATTACTATTATTGGAAATTTACTTAATCTTTACTGTTGAATAAATACAGATGGATTTAGGTGACATAAGTATTCTCATAATGGCCAAGACTCATCACACACATAACATACTTTACATTTGGATTAGTGTAATAAACATTGAGCAGCGAGAAGTAACAAACCACTTGAACAGAATATTGAAAGAAAAAAAATCTGTATATTTTGGCCTCAGTGCAAGATCCTTTTCAGCATAGTATGGTAAAAAATGGCTGGCACAGAGCAAACCTTTATTTACAGGCACATTTTATATGAATAAAAAAATAATAGATATTATTTTGTTTTAAGTCGGAATTTATCAAGTCTACTGACTTGATAAAGCTCTATGTACTTAAGAATGAAATGTCATCTGTAAATAAATTTTTATTCTGCACATAACATTCTTTTTTTTTTTTTACCATATTTGTCAGCAAGTCTTGCCATGCAATATCAGTAAAGTCTCGGAAGCTAAAATGCAGTAGCATTATTATTATTATTATTAGTAGTAGTAGTACGTTCATATGGGAGCAATAAACCTATAGGGAAGGAAGGTCACATACAATGCCCAGGAAAATGGGAAGCACTCAGGTTCACTCCAGGGTAAACGAAGGTCCAGTTCCTTGGACATTAAGCTCCTGACTGGCATAAAGGAGCTTCCACTGAGGAACCAAAATACAGCACAGTATACAGTTCTGTTTTACTCAATTTTCTGTCCAAGTGATTTCTCAAAAAAACTTCACATTCATCATCATAACTTTCACAGTCACATCAACATTTGATAATTTAAAACCTTTTAAAGACTTTTACAAATAATGTCAATCTGGCACTTTCAACTTACTGTATAATTTATTTGAAATTAATTTCTATACTGGACCTTGCTACATTATTTTATATGTTTTATTTCAATAACTATAAACCTCTGGTACAATCATCCACTATCCATTGACTCCTGAGTCTATTATTATTATTATCATTATCATCTGAGTGTATTATTATTATTATCATTATCATCTGAGTGTATTATTATTATTATTACAATAACATCAAACAGGGGGATATTATTATATTTGACAACAAGTGCCAAACTTGTGTGGTTTACACAGCGTTCTTGTTTGTTGTTACTGAGAATAAACAATATCAATGTTAAAATAAATATCATAGCTAATTGTAAAGGAATGACAGCCTCATCCTGATAAAATATGAATAAATTAATAAATCAAATTTATGTACTATTTTGTATTGTACTTGTAACAGCAACTAATTACTAAATAAATACCTAGTACGAGAGCTTCTATTGGTAGCATAAATTATTATTTTCGTAGCAAAGTGCTAAACCCATAGGGCTCAAACAGCACTTGGGAAAGGGTGGAAGTAAGGTTTAATCTGGGGAAAGGAAAGGTAGCTCAAATTCCTTGGATCAAGAGCGTTTTACCAGCATCCTCTTAAAGGGAGTATTAAAAGGAATGTTTCTAACACTGTAGAACTGTACAATACTCTGCTTCTTATTTTTACTCTGTTCCATCTGCTCCTTTAAAGAAAGAGAGGGAAAGGGTGCCTTGATGCTGATGAATGGCTCCTGATCCAAGGAACTGGAACTACCCCTCCTATTTCATAGGCACTGTAGGGCTCCTACAAATGGTCATGATAGGGAAAGTTTTCGAGAGAAAACTGGACCTGATCTCCTGCAAATGCCTGATCAGCCAACTGGTGATGGCTATGTGGGTTTGCAGACTAATGACATAAACAGCCTGGATGACCAGATGGTCCACAAATGGGCCTGACCTGAAGCTGGGCTGCGAGGGTACAGTTATTGAAATCAGTCACAGGTATGTCACGAGGACAAGTATGATGATAATAATAATTCACCATCTGCTTTTGAATACAGTGGCAGATATTCATATTTTTATTCATATTCATATTTCTTTTACCCAGTAAATTATCAAGTGTAATGAAAAGGCAAAAACCACCACAACCACCTCAGGCACCACCACCACAACCACCTCAGGCACCACCACCACACAACCACCTCAGGCACCACCACCACAACCACCTCAGACACCACCACCACAACCACTAGCACCCCACCACACCACCTCAGGCACCACCACCACAACCACCTCAGGCACCACCACCACAACCACCTCAGGCACCACCACCACAACCACCTCAGGCACCACCACCACAACCACCTCAGGCACCACCACCACAACCACCTCAGGCACCACCACCACAACCACCTCAGGCACCACCACCACAACCACCTCAGGCACCACCACCACAACCACCTCAGGCACCACCACCATAACCACCTCAGGCACCACCACCACAACCACCTCAGGCACCACCACCACAACCACCTCAGGCACCACCACCACAACCACCTCAGGCACCACCACCACAACCACCTCAGGCATCACCACCACAACCACTTTAGACACCACCACAACCACTTTAGGCACCACCACCACAACCACTTTAGGCACCACCACAACCACTTTAGGCACCACCATAACCAGCACTGCAGCAACCACCTCAGGCACCACCACCACAACCACCTCAGGCACCACTGTAACAACCACTTAGGGCACCACCATAAACACCACTGTAACAACCACCTCTACCACTCTGGATGAGTGTACAGATGAATCAACCTTTCAACTTCCCAAGAAATACCTACAGCAACACATCAGTTATTTACATTACATCAAAATCAAAACTTGAGTACTGTATAGTATTATTTTAATATATATTAGCATAATGAACTTTTATACAAAAAAATATAGTGGCATTCACAGTGTTTGCATTGACTAAGACCTCTAGGAACATATCCCTGCTAGTACATAAAGGTTGCAGTTCTGGTCTGCATTACTATATTATAATCATGGGGTGCACTAAACCCATAGGGACACTTATTTTAATCAGGGAGAAGTGCTAAACCCAAAAGAGTCATATAGGGAAGGGTCAGAACAATAAAATTAGCTAATTTGCTTATGAAAAAAGTACATTTATAGTTTGGTCGAGTGTAAAACAACATGTAAGCATTGATTCAACTAGGTTATTAACAAATTGCTCTGCCACCTTCACAAGTGAAAACTAGCCTCTTTCTGGGCTTATTTTGACAAATATGAAAAAGACATTTTAAAATAACTGTAGATCAAAAGGAAGCGTTGGTATTCTCAAGTTCAAGTTTTGCTGCAGTATTTGTTGGGTGAAAACACCTGGCAGAAAGTTCTCGGCAGATTGTGGCACTGCTAAACAATGTGGCTGAAGATGTTTATTGGTCTTATACAAAACTTATCTGTCGATCAATCTATTTTGTTAAACGGGGCCCTGTAGTGAGGAATGTGGAAAATGACATATAGGTCATTTAAAGAATACTTTTTACCACAGATAGTATATAAGATAAGATAAGATTTCGTTCGGATTTTTAACCCCGGAGGGTTAGCCACCCAGGATAACCCAAGAAAGTCAGTGCGTCATCGAGGACTGTCTAACTTATTTCCATTGGGGTCCTTAATCTTGTCCCCCAGGATGCGACCCACACCAGTCGACTAACACCCAGGTACCTATTTGCTGCTAGGTGAACAGGACAACAGGTGTAAGGAAACGTGTCGAAATGTTTCCACCCACCGGGAATTGAACCCGGGCCCTCCGTGTGTGAAGCGGGAGCTTTAGCCACCAGGCCACCGTTCAATGTTCCAACGAGTACTGAAAAATACTAAACCACTGTACCATTCTGAAGCAATTTTGTAATTCTGTTTATGAGGTATTGATCAGAAAGAAAAACTTATTATACAAACTGAATACCTTCTTAAATTTGCTACTAGACAGTACATTTGTGTGAGAGAGCTAATCTTATAAGGATTATATAGTGGCTAATAGCCACTGGTGCACTACAGTTGAAAATAGCTTTCCAATAAGGCACACACAAGTCCCTAAAATGCAAACCCTCTTTAACCCCATCCTCTAACTGTTCCTGTCTTTCATTCCAGATTTACACACCTCTTCATCATCCTGTCACTCTCCATCATGCACAATCACATTCAACAGAAAAAAGGCAACATAATTGACATTTTTCCTATCTCAACTAATATCCCTTTCTCCAATGGGCAACAAGGTCAGCTTAAGAAATGGTTTTAAAACTCTGCCTGTCTCCCACAGGTAGGGTGACCCGATAACGAAGAAAGCACTTTCACTATCTCTCATTCAACCACTGTCTTGCCAGAAGGGCACTAACATGACAGTTCAGATAAACCATCCAAACTGCAACATCCTCACCCATCTTTTAGAGTGCAGGTACTGTACTTCCCACCAACAGGACTTTAGTCCGGCTATCTGGTTTCCCTGAATCCCTTCATAAATGTTACTTTACTCACTCCAACAGCATGTTAAATCGTAAGAACCACTTGCCTCCTCTCACTCTTTAGGAGTGAGAGGTACCTGGGTGTTAGTCAACACTTCCTTCCCTCCACTCCAGATTTATATGCTCTCCTAGTCATCCTATTTTTCATCCTCTATAAATGTTCAAACCACTTCAATAACCCCTCTTTAGCCCTATTTTTCCATGCATTGTAATTACAAAGCACAACTAGTGCTTTGGAAAATTCATAATTTGTGGATTATTCGGAACATGAGTATTGAAAATATGGTCTTAATAAAATTGGCAATTTTTATTTTCAGATGTTTTTCTCATTTCTAAAAAAAAAAAAAATCTGACTAGAAGCATGATACAAATACACGTATATAGTATTTTTGAAGGATACAGTTTTAAAAGCTAAACATGACATGTAATTTACTCTTATAGAGTTGAGCTCTTGTTATCTTTCCCTCCTATCTTATCTCTCTTTTCTTTCTATTGAGGCAACTCTTTACTATTATACTTGGTTTATCAAACTTATCTCACATCATGTGGAGATGTTTACTGATCAAGATGTTATTGGGAGTATAGTATTTATTGTGCCACACTGTTGCAAACATTAAAAAGTGTCAAATTTTGCACATGCAACACTGTGCAACTGTATATATGACTCTTATAGACAAGCTGAATATTGAAATATGATACTTTAACACTGGGTGTCCCGTAGCTCGATCGTTAGTGCACTCAACTCACACACTAACGTCCAGGGTGCTAATCTCCTGCGGTACGGCTGGAAAACATTAGGGACGTGTTTCCATAAGACACCTGCTGTCCCTGTCCCTGTTCACCCATCAGTTTAAAATGGGTACTTGGGTGTTAGTCGACCGGTGTCGGTCGCATCCTGGGACAAAACTGACCTAATTTGCCCGAAATGCTGTGCATAACAAGCGGTTTTCTATATAGTAGTATGTCACTGACGTCAGCTAGATCTATATACCTTGTACAAGTACTTGGAGTATATAAAGATATCATTATTATTATTATTATTATTATTATTATTATGCTGAGCATACATCCAGGAGATTTGTTCACCTTTTACGGACACCTCTGTTGTCAGAAACCTTTTTTTATCAATGGTAAAAATAGAGTAGGAATATAAATGTTTTGATGTACAGTACAAAAATATATTACCTCTAAAATGCAGAAAAATAATAATTCCTGGAAGAAAATCTGCATGTTTTGTAGCTTAATTTGATGTATTATGAGACATATATGAAATAAATTACAATGGATTAAGTTTAGTATTGGTTGATGATTATTAATGCATTAATGAGGAAGTACTAAACCCATAATGGACATGCAGTGCCTGTGGAATGGGGGGTAATTAAACTTAACTCATGGAAGGGTAATGTAGCTTCAACCACGGAACTGATCCTTCTCAGTTAATGAAAACACTATACAGTGGACCCCCGCATAACGATTACCTCCGAATGCGACCAATTATGTAAGTGTATTTATGTAAGTGCGTTTGTACGTGTATGTTTGGGGGTCTGAAATGGACTAATCTACTTCACAATATTTCTTATGGGAAAAAATTCGGTCAGTACTGGCACCTGAACATACTTCTGGAGTGAAAAAATATCGTTAACCGGGGATCCACTGTATAAAGTATATCTACCATCCACTGTTAAAATCTTAAAAAAATGATTACTTAGGCATATTAGTTGCCCTGACAAAACTGTACAACATTTATTTATGGTACAAGAAAAAAAAATGTATCAGGTTTACAAACATAACCATTTCTCTTATTAAATATTATTAATAGTTATATTTAACAAATAAATACAATAAAAACACCTTTCACTCAAAAATACAATATTTATCAAATTATTTTCAGTCACCACAGTTACATAAAATGTCTTGGCCATACTGAATTACAAGGTGACTCCAGTCTCATTTCAAGTACCCATTAGCTGGACAAGTACCCATTAGCTGGACAAGTTTGGATCTTAATCTTTTCCTGAGTTGCTACTTGCTAGCTTAATGGTGAGAATGGAACAGGAAACCAACCATTAAACATTTTCCTGCTTGTCCTGTTATACATGTATATATATCATTATACATATGTATCTTTTGTCCTGTTGTATATATATCATTGTATGTTGCAATTATTTAATAAATGTATGGAAGAGGGTAAGGTACCTAGGGATTGGCAGAGAGCATGCATAGTTCCTTTGTATAAAGGCAAAGGGGATAAAAGAGAGTGCAAAAATTATAGGGGGATAATTTCTGTATGAGTGTACCTGTAAATGATAATGAGTATGAGTTTTATAATTGAAAAATTAAGAGTAAGACGGAGATTATGGATAGCAGATGCAGGAGGCTTTAGAAAGTAGGGGTGTGTGGACCAGGTGTTTAACCATGAAACCATATAAGTGAACAGTATTTAGATAGGCAAAGAGGTCTTTGTGGCATTATGGATTTAGAAAAGGCGTATGACAGGTGGGATAGGGGGCAATGTGGCAGATGTTTGCAGTGTATGGTGTAGGAGGTAGGTTACTGAAAGCAGTGAAGAGTTTTTACGGGATGGTGAGGGTGGTTAGAGTATGTAGGGAAGGGGAAATTTTTTTCCAGTTAAAAGTAGGCTTGGACAAGGATGTGTGATGTCACCGGGGGGGGGGGTTTGTTTAATATATGTTTAGTAGATGGGGGGTTGTAAGAGAGTAATGCGAGGGTCTTGGCAAGAGGCGTGGGTTTAATGTAAAGGGGTTCACACACAAGTGGGAGTTTGTCACAGTGCTCTTTGCTGTGGGCACTGTGCTTTGGGTGATTCTGAGAGAAGTTGCGAGATTGGTGGATGAATTTTGGTAGGTGTGCAAAAGAAGAAAATTAAAGGTGAATACAGGAAAGAGTAAGGTTATGAGGATAACAAAAGATTAGGTGATGAAGATTGAATATCAGAATTGGAGGGAGAGTAGTTGGAGGAGGTGAACGTATTCAGATATTTGGGAGTGGACGTGTCAGCGGATGGGTCTATGAAAGATGAGGTGAATCATAGAATTGATGAGGGAAAAAGAGTGAGTGGTGCACTTAGGAGTCTGTGGAGACAAAGAACTTTGTCCTTGGAGGCAAAGAGGGGAATGTATGAGAGTATAGTTTTACCAACGCTCTTATATGGGTGTGAAGCGTGGGTGATGAATGTTGCAGCGAGGAGAAGGCTGGAGGCAGTGGAGATGTCATGTCTGAGGGCAATGTGTGGTGTGAATATAATGCAGAGAATTCGTAGTTTGGAAGTTAGGGGAGGTGCGGGATTACCAAAACTGTTGTCCAGAGGGCTGAGGAAGGGTTGTTGAGGTGGTTCGGACATGTAGAGAGAATGGAGCGAAACAGAATGACTTCAAGAGTGTATCAGTCTGTAGTGGAAGGAAGGCGGGGTAGGGGTCGGCCTAGGAAGGGTTGGAGGGAGGGGGTAAAGGAGGTTTTGTGTGCGAGGGGCTTGGACTTCCAGCAGGCATGCGTGAGCGTGTTTGATAGGAGTGAATGGAGACAAATGGTTTTTAATACTTGACGTGCTGTTGGAGTGTGAGCAAAGTAACATTTATGAAGGGATTCAGGGAAACCGGCAGGCCGGACTTGAGTTCTGGAGATGGGAAGTACAGTGCCTGCACTCTGAAGGAGGGGTGTTAATGTTGCAGTTTTAAAAACTGTAGTGTAAAGCACCCTTCTGGCAAGACAGTGATGGAGTGAATGATGGTGAAAGTTTTTCTTTTTCGGGCCACCCTGCCTTGGTGGGAATCGGCCGGTGTGATAATAAATAAAATAAAAAATGTTTATATACTATATCTTTATACTGCTCTTTTAAATCAGGCAATTAATATATATAGATTGTGATAGAAGGCGGTACACTGCACATTTGATAATAAACTGTTGCGACAGTTTTGCATGGCAGTACAAATAAAGGAAATGTATACAAATTTGTTCGTCTAAACTATAAAAACTGATTCTTAAAGACTCTGGCTGTACATGAAGAAATTAAAAAGAATAAAAAACTTTTTCCCTAAGAATCAGCTATGTCAGTTACTGTACTAACCACAATTATCACAAAGATAAAACAACTCATGGAATAACCCTAGCACACACTGCAGATATCTACTTTAAACAAATCCTAACATATATTCTAAGAGAGATACACTGAGTTCTATGATGCATACATGCGGTTAATGGCATCTTGATATTTGATCTGAATACTTTTGCGCTTGAGTTTGAATGCTGCTGTAACCAGGCCAGTGTCAGGTGTCCATAACTCTGATGTAAGATGCAGCGCACCTGGCAACTCAAATTTCTCCAATTTGGCTGGAACAGATTACAAGTTTGCTATTAGGTTCAAAATAAATTTGTCAGTATTACAGTACTGGTAACTGGAAAATACTATTATTATATTTATGGAGAGGCTAAACCTGAAATATGGTGGGGAAGTGGGAGGATGATGGGTGTGGAAGAAATGGTGTGTGTGTGTGTGTGTGTGTGGTGTGTGTGTGTGTGTGTGTGGTGTGTGTGTGTGTGTGTGTGTGTGTATGTGTGTGTGGTGTGTGTGTGTGTGTGTGGTGTTGTGTGGGGTGTGTGTGTGTGTGTGTGTGTGTGGTGTGTGTGTGTGTGTGTGTGTGTTGTGTGTGTGTGTGTGTGTGTGTGTGTGTGTGTGTGTGTGTGTGTGTGTGTGTGGTGTGTGTGTGTGGTGTGTGTATGGTGTGGTGTGTGTGTGTGTGTGTGTGTGTGTGTGTGGTGGTGTGTGTGTGGTGTGTGTGTGGTGTGTGTGTGTGTGGTGTGTGTGTGTGGTGTGTGTGTGGTGTGTGTGTGTGGTGTGTGTGTGTGGTGTGTGTGTGTGGTGTGTGTGTGTGTGTGTGTGTGTGTGTGTGTGTGGTGTGTGTGTGGTGTGTGTGTGGATCACCTGAGAGGCTGGGGGATCAGAAGCTATGAAGCAAATCGGCCACTTCGAGGTCAACTACACTGCTCATACCAATGCAATTCCTGGCTTCTGTTCTGTCGACTGTGCACAAAAAACTGCCTATTCAGTTATCAGAGCTACCCTATAAAGCACCAACTTTCAATTTATAAAAGCCCAAAATAAAGATTATAGGTATTCCAACTACTACAGCAGCCTTCTTTCTGTTCAGTAATCAGGTATCTTTTATATAACACTTGCTGTACATTTTAAACCCAGAATCACAAAAAATCAAAGCTTTACCAAATTTCTCAGCTAATAAAATCTAGCTAAAAATGACTGGTCATGGTTTAGCCCATTCCAATAACTGAAGCAGCCTAATAAAACATACAAAACAGACTGGGATGAGAGAAGGGGAAGGGTAATAGGGCCCTTACTCTTCCTCAGATAAAAATGTCAAAAATAAAAATTTCTGCAATTTTAAGGCCCATTTCAACAGATAACAAGAAACAGTCAGTAAAACCATGAAAACCATACTCTAACATGCCTCAAAGTGCTATTTTAACCCTTTCAGGGTCCACAGGCGAAATTTCAAATTGCACACTGGGGTCCAAGAATTTTCAAAAAATAATTTTGTTATTTTTTCTTATGAAATGCTAGAGAATCTTTTTCTGAAGGTAATAAAACAAAAAGTACAAAATTTAATGGAAAATTGACAAAATTATGCTCTCGCGAATTTTGATGTGTCAGTGATATTTACGTATCGGGGATTTTGCCGACTTTGACTCCCATTTTAGGCCGATTACATTATTCCACTTGACCAAATTCTTAGCTATTTCACTGGTATTACTTCTATTCTATCGATTGAGCACAAGAAATTGCCAACTCAACTGTTTCAACTACAAAATAAAGTAATCGGAAATTAGCAATTTGTCCAATCTAATGCAAAGTTCAAAATATTCTAATTTCAAAATAAGGTCCAGAATAAACAATGCAGACATTCCTGGCACTAAACTAACAATTACTCTGTTCATTAGTTACATTTTCAGGCTTTACAAATGAATTTCATTTTGATTTTTTATTCACATAATGAATTTTTATTCAAACCAAAAAATATAAGATTTACTGTTATGCAATATTGTAATAACTGTATAAATAATACAACCACATTTGTAAATGTATATTAGACCCACCAGCTGGTGTGTATTAGATGTATGAGGTCATTTGTTTACTCTTGAACATTGGCAAAAATTTAACATTTCTGCTTCTTTGAGCTCAGTTTCAAGCAATTTCCATTACTAAAACCAATCAAAATCTTCTCTATTTCTGTAATATATCTTCCATTCTATCAAATGAGACCAAGAAATCGCAAATACAACTATAAAAAATATATGAAAAGACACTGCAAAATCGCTGTTTAAATCGAAAATTACGGTCTCAGTTTTTTTTTCTCATTATGCACTGTGTGCTGCAGGATTTGTTTTATGTGGTGCACACATACCACATAGATGTATTCTTTCATATCTAAGCCCAAATTTACCGTTCACAGCTTATCAGAGTGATCTGAGCTCATGGCGTAGATCTACGGTTTGGACCCTCTACGTATAGCCATAGATCTACGGCACGGACCCTGAAAGGGTTAAACCAAACAAAAGATCATAGGTTAGCAGTTCCCATTATGTACTGAGTGGGACAGGATTTTTTTATATACTATACATACCTGCCACACAGACCCATTCTCTCATGTCTTGGCCAAAATTTACTGATCATAGCATAATTGAGGGTGGCATGATTAAAATGTAGATAAATAACAAAAAGGCACAATACCGTGATTGGAACAATACACAAATAACCCGCACATAAAAGAGAGAAGCTTACGACGACGTTTCGGTCCGACTTGGACCATTGAGTGATACTGAAAGGATTAATCAAATCAGATACAGTGGACCCCCAGTTATAGGCCGGTTTGGTTATCGGCCAACTCGGTTATCGGCGGGTTTTTCGGCGCCCAGTTATTGGTTGCTCGCTCGGTTATCAGCTGTTTTGGACGCGTCCATCCGCCGGCTGGGGCAGCTTGCGTTTCATTTTGGCTTTGTCTCTCGGTGGCTGAGGAAGCTTCTGCTCATACATCCAAACATTTCGCTTGTTTACCATTGTTTTTAGTGGTTTTTCTTGCAGTGCAACTGTGAAATAAGTAAAGATGGCTCCAAAGAAAGTTCCTAGTAAAGTTCCTGTGGTAAAGAAAGTGAGAAGTGAAGTGATAGAAAAGTTTGAGAGTGGTATGAAGGTGGTGGAACTTGCCAGGATGTACAGCAAGAATAAATCAACAATTACATCCATC